ACTGCTACCGTTGCTACTGCTACTGCTACTTCTTCTGCCACTACTACGACCATCACTGTCAGCACTACCAGCACTACCCCATCACTACTTCAGGCCTCGGCCCTACCAGACTCGGAAAGAACCCACGGACAGCATCACCAACAGCAGCACCATCATCACTCTCATGTACCTTCAAAACGTATCATCGCCATCACCGTCACCATCACTGGCGTCATCTTCTGCTTCGTCTGTCAGCAGCCAATCACCGACACACCCGCAATGTCTCACAATCACCAGGATGATAACAACTCAACATTTTCGCAGACCTTGCTGGGACCATCACGGCAGACATCAGTGTAATGGCCGCCATCATCAGCAGCACACACCATCAACTGCATTGCCATTGTCATCATCATCCTTACCAGCGTTACCATATACATATATATATATATGTATGTATGTATATATATATATATATATATCCAGTACATGTATATAAGCAAAACCGTAATCAGCATCGTCATCATCGGCATCATCAGCATCACCATCATCGGCATCATCGCCCACGGTGTCGTCGTCGAATCCCTGGGAATCTTTATCATCGTGACCACTCTCTTCGCGATGCTAATCCTGCCAGCGTGGTTTCTTCATGTTTCTTCTAGCAAATCTTCGGCCAAAGGGTTCGTGGACGTACTACGTAGCATCATCCCCAGTGCGTTCTCCATTGGAATACTTTTTTGTGAATGGTTTTTTGTGCGCAAAAGCAGATGGCTGCCAAACCTACAGCAAACGCTCCTGGTCGCTGCTACTCAGCCGACTACATGAAGAGCACCAAAATTCAAAAAATGCAGGTCTTTGAACATCTTCACTAATCTATGACATATCCCGCCCATTGCACACAACGCCTTATAAACAGCTCGTGATCGAAGCGGGATGCCCATATTCCTGGACCTCTACCCCGGTCTTTCTGCCCATGCCCATCGCTGAAGGCACCAATGACTTGCACGACCAGCAAACAGTGTCATTGGAATATATAGACACGTGCTGAGATGCACGCGCGCGCACGCACAGGCACACATGCGCAGAGGAAGAAACACACACACACACACACACATATGCCAAAACAGGCTGCATGCTTGCAGCTGCAGCGCCCGCCTTGTCCGGAAACGCCAGCGAAATCCTGGTTTAATCACAGGGGTTCACAGGGCAAGGGCTCCCAGCTCGTTGCAAGTGAGCGCGTGCAACGCGCATGTGAACTCGTCAGGTGTCTGCACGAAATCAATAATCAACGCCTAACAACACTCTGTTTACGCTCAGTGTAAATTGTTTAGCCTTAACAACTGTAGGTTTGGGGTTTCGTGGTTCCTTTCTACATTTACAAGAGGAGCCCTCAGGAAAAGCATTGGTAATCTCGCCTTTTCCTTTATTAAGTGTCAGGTCCTGCCGGCTGCAGTCTTGACAGCTTGTGCAACTCGCTGCGACATGGCGTGCTCTCTGAAACAAACCCTATCACCCTATACCCAGAACCCCAAATTGCTGCAGAATCTTCTGATCTGCTGCTTCGGCTGTGAATCGGTGGTGGCTGATTCGGATGTCGTCCAGTGTCGTGCAGGAGCCTTTGTCTCGTCTGACTCTGTCACCAAGACATTTGCTGAAGAAGTCTCAAGTCCACATCATCCGGACAACACACAAGATTAGGGTCTAAAGTCTAAAGGGTACATGGCTTGGGCATTTTGTATTTAGCATCGATCTGCTGCAGATTTGCTGACTCTGACTCTTGACAAGACATGATGCTTAACATGTGATTGTTGAACGGTGAAACCTCTGAGCAAAAGCCTGCCGGCAGGGACGAAGTGGCCATCAAACATACTAAGTTCCAGTCTTAGTTAGTCGGAAGCTACTTGCAGGTAACTACCGACGACTGCTCACCCACACCCAATACAGCACTCGTGATCTCATCGATAATCGTCGATTTCAACAGGTCTGGGGCAAGCATTGCGAAGAGATAAGAGTGTTTTCAGGTGTCCAGCCTTCCGCCTTCCGCCCCCCAGATTTGAGCCCATGTCTGGGAACAAAACCCACACAGCAAGGCCCCGCTCTGAAACCCGCTACTTGAATACGAAGCCCCACGGCTTCAAGCTCCAGTCCAGTACCGGGCCGAAACTGCGAAACTGAAGCACAAAGCCGTAAACCCGGCGTTCGTTACACAACACCTTGCGCACGGAGGATCATGCTTCCGATCTGAGCCGCTCGCTACGAGCGCCAAGGGTGCCAGGCGCAAGGGCGAGCCTCCATGAAGTTCCATGAGGGTTCTTATATCGAATACAATATACTAGACTGTAATGTGAGATGATGTAGCTTGTAAATAATACAAGTTAATATAATATGGATGTTGTTCTAAATTAAAGGAGCCATGCCCAGGCATTAGGACAGTGCTTGCGCCCGCCCTTGCGCCGTCTTGCACGCGCAGGGGTTTTCACTCATGACAACATAATCCAATACAAAGCCACATGTATGAACACAATACATATGTTATTGTGTTATGTATCTTGCGCCCGCCCTTGCGCGAGCTTGCGCGCGCGAGGGTTTTTCACCACCATGCAAAACCCTAATGCCGGCCCTACTCTTACCACAAGAGGCGGGGGTTTAGAACGGCATCCATATACTGATCTATTGTTGGTTCCGGGCTCTTGCCTGTCTGCCTGGGCCAGCCTGTCAGCAAGTGCAGAGACGCCCAAAGGCAAATTCGCTTCGATGTCTAGTGTCATAGAATACGTGCTATACGGTTTTACAGTTATGTATACCACATCGTTCACATGAGTTGATGTATCCGTGTATGTGCGTCGGCGTGTATTTACAGAAAACGAAAGCGCAAACAGAAACCATGCAAACTCTTCAACATGCAACCTCCCCGAACGGTTTGTTTGGGGTCAGGGTTCACAACGGGTTTTCTGTCGGTAGATCTAAATATCGTCCAGGACTCTTTGAACGAAGCGGCTCCTGAGACTATTGATGTGCAGCACGTGAGGCTTGGGATGTTATCTGTCATAGCTGTAGCTAGCGGCGCCTCCGCGATCCATTGTCTGACGACATGCAGATGGCATGTGAGTGCTGGGACATCGGGGTAAGCTGACGAATGTTCCGCCAGCTTGAACACAGAATGAGAGCGTTCAACATCCCTTCTTTGCTGCTCATATACAGGAGCGAAGCCCATGAAGTCATGAACCAAAGCCACTTTGAAGTGAGATGTTCCATGCCTGTTGAATTGAGAGGAGGTGAGAACCTGTTCAGACACATGCAGCCTCCTGCGCAAACGGAATGCCCCTTAAAGTGTGAAGGGGCGGAGCACGGCTTCAGCAAGCGGCGCCTCTTGCAGCCCGCTTTTGCCATGGTGCCTGGGCTAGTTTCGCAACAAAAACTCTCACAACTCGTCGGTTGTGAGATTTGTTGTCAGTGTATGGCAGGTAGACTTTAAGGGTCTTGTCGGGCTGGCTCGGTGGCCAATGACAGAGCTGTCACAACAGTTTGAGTGCAATAGTTCAGTTTATTGACAAGTAATGTGAATATGCAAGTGTTTATATAATACAACTAAAGAAAGCGAACTATGCCTCATCGTGGCCATTTCTAGCCTAGAGACACAGAAGAAACATCATGATCATCGAAATCAGTAATGTCGCCAGAAGCACCACCACCATCATCTTCTTCTTCATCAGCCGCATTATCATCATGACCCCGATCATCCGCATCATGACAAACATCATCACCATCGTCATCGTCATCGTCATCGTCATCGTCATCGTCACCATCACCATCACCATCACCATCACCATCACCATCACCATCACCATCGTCATCATCATGGTCATCATCATCATCATCGTCATCATCATCATCATCATCATCGTCATTGTCATCATCACCATCATCATCATCATTGCCGCCATCACCATGATCACAGTTCCAGCCAAGTTAGGAGCATCGAATATGCACGCTCGCAATGCAGGAGCTATTTCCCTAGCTCTTGGCGCCTCACCAGCATGTTGGCCGGACGTCGCTTGCACCAACAGTGACGTCTGTGGATAGCACGCGCGAGGACGCTTTACCGGTTTGCATACGGCGTACGCATCCTGCTCACTTGATACGCTTTCCGACAACTGCCAGACTAGTTGTACATGAATCCTGGGCGATCACACTTTGAACCGACGTGTCAGCACACAGAGCGTGGGTGGCGTAGAGTCGAGCAAGTGACCCTACAGTGGCACCTCAGTACGAGTCTTTAATCGCTGATATACCTGCATTACCCCGGCATTCTAAAATCCCCTCAACATCTTGCTATCAGGCTGTGAGGCACGTACACCATGCAAACGTCAGTCGCTATCGTGGCCGACCGATGCAGGTCAATGGCACGGTAAACCTTCAGCCCCGAAAGCCCTAAATCAAGTGGGCGTCGCAACCCGGAAGGCTGGTGGTCCAACTGAAATCAAGGTTTTAGAGGCTCGACACGAGAATCCATGACAGCGATGCAGTATAATTTGCAACATGGCAGGGCAGTGGCGAGCGACCTTGGAAAATATTGTGCTTAGGGCTTAGGGCAAGGGCTAGTCCACCCTAGACAAAGACCATCGCTAAACTTGGGCTGCCACCAGAATCCCCTGAACACGAGATGATTGTGTGCTGGTCCAACTCATGACGAGAGTGCTAGGCAAAGCTGGCGACCAGCTGTCATGACTTCCGGCAAGTCCAGCGTGGCCAACCTTCAAACTTGAGAAGGCAATTATCCTGAACTCCACGAGTCACTTTGGAATCGATGCGCCCGTGCGGTCTTCTTGCTTTGAGCTAGACGGCACGAGGAATTTCCCATGCTTGCCCTTGCAACGTCTTAAGAAAAAGATCCTGGCACTGTGAACCACCAAACCTGACCACTTCACGGTGATCCCTTGGTTCAAACATCTTCCGAGCCCTACAGGATCTGTGCGTACATCTGAAGGCTCTGCTCCGACAACCCTCCGTCTACAACGCCGTCAGAGAAGGGAGCAGCCGATGCTTCGAACCTCATGAAACACACAGGGTTATGCACACAAGGCGGTAGGAACCGGTTTTCGGGCTTGAGAGATTTGGAGGGTTGGGGTTGCCGGATCCAGGGTTTGAGGGTGCAAGCGAAGTCTGCGCGGTATGTGTCGGATGCGAACTCATGTATCAAGATCCCAGAAAAGCATGACGACAGCCGCAGGCAAAATGAGATTGCCAATTTCAGACCTGGTATGACCTGGTGGTGCTCTGCACCGAGGACAGGATTCCCTGTCTCTGCGCGCGCAAGGCCATCGGCCGACGCACAGCTTCGCCGTTGTTCATAATGTTGCATCCTGTCTATTTGTCACGGCGTTCAGCATCGAAGGGCTGCTGCACTATACTGCAACAATCCATCCACCAAAGACACACACACACACACACACCTTGAATCATCTGATATTGCCGGATTCCGCAACCCCCAGTCTGAAGCTGTGAGTGTCATGGAGTCATATGAATGTGCTGTGACACGTCGCCACGTGGAACCCCGCAGCCATATCAGGATTGGCAGAGCCAGAACTTGCCCCCTCTCTGAAAGCAAACTGTAACGCGAGAAGAACACCGAAACTGGAGTTCAATAGCCACAGAACGTGTCATTTTCGAGCGGGCCTGCAACAGAGAAGCTAAGGTGCCAAGACAAGGTCGTCGGCACGGGATCGTGCAGTTGTTGCGCACCAATGGGCTGCACTCCACAGAGACACCCCGTGTCACCCCGAAGTTGTCTTTCTACAAGGCTGCGGATGCAGGATGACGCAGATTACCTGGCCGGGCCACCTCCACGGCAATACGAACTGCGAAGCAATGGAGATGCGTGGTGTAAGTTCCTAGTCAAAAGATCAGGTGCACCGAACAGTGACTGTAAGGCAGATACCTGATAGAGCACTACAGATTAGAGGCCAGGCTACTTCCTGCGATGGCCTGCCGGATCCTCACAATACCCCATGTACACGTATAGTAGCCTTCAAGTAAGCTGAACACCGGCATGGAACCCTCGTAGTACCTTATCGTGCTCTTATATTAAGCCTGCAGTTCCTCTGAAACCCGTATAGTACCTTTATTTACTTGTCTAACAACCTTATAGCACAGTAGTGGCCGATGGTGCTCTTCTAGATTCTAGTACCCGTATATACGACTCTTATAGCAAGCTTGTAATACCCTTATGGGAACCATTGAGGGAGCCTCTATTGATCCCTTCAAGGAACGCTTATAGAACATCGGGGGGCACAGGAGGGGCGGATCTCTTCTCGCTGCCGCTCGCAGCTTGCAGAGCCACTCCTTCTGCTAAGATAAATCTGCCCTTGGCCGTGGCTTTCCGGGTAGATTTCAATTTATAGCGGAACTACAGCTAGGTAGTATCGGGACTCTACGGGATGTTACGAAGATGATCGTGGACGAAGACTAGGCCAAAGATAAGTCGAATTCGCAAGCATGCAGCCACAGTTGAATGCTCTTGCGTCCGGATCAGGGACACTGCCGTTGCCGTGTTTTCCGAAGCTCCGGGATTTCATGATCGCTTGAAAACACCGGCGAGCAGCAAAAGCATGGCCAGCATAGCGGCCATCGTTGAAGTCTGCGCTCCCGGTGTGGCAGAGATCCCTGCGTCGGCCTAGCCTGTTTACCTGCAGGAAGCTCGGGTGGGTGTTGGTGGACCTCAGTGTGGACCCTTCGGGCTAGGCCGCGCCCTGCCTGCCGTAGCGACCTCCCCTAGCAGCGCGGCAGGACCCGGATCGTCCAACACCGGAAGCAAATTTTCGCTTTGGCGGCCTAGGGTTTCAAGCGAAATTGAAAATTGTATCACGACATGGGAAGCTTTGCAGGTTGCCTTCTGGACCACTGTGGCCCATTGACAATGCACTGTGCATTTCACAGGGGGCATGGCCCGAGGTGAACGTGCAATTCCTGAGACGATCTGACCGCCCGAGCAGCCAGATTCTAAATTCGTCGTGGCGGCTCATAATCGCCACTACTTCTATGTGTTTAAGCCGCGTTGAACTCCAGGCCATCGCCCTCTGGGGAAACGCTGAAGATGCCTGTGACCATCCGGTCGCATGTGGCAGTTCATCCTATGAGCACCGAGCTGGGCAACAGGATGCAGACGCAAAGCCCGAACATGGATGATGGCAAGACTTACCGCGCATGCCTCATGAGCAAGATATAGTGCTAGAGGTGATGGTCGGACGGTAGAATCAAGGTGACAATAGCATTAGGCAGTTGATCATATTGCTGGCGAAGCTGGTGAAGACAATAATTACGATGAAAACGATGACGCTGATGATGGTGATGACCATGAGAGTGATGATGGTGATGATGATGCTGCTGATGCTGATGCTGCTGATGACGATGATGATGACGATGACGGTGATGACGGTCACCGTACGCGAAACAACTGTGACACGCTCTGAAGGCCCCCTCTGCTGTTTGGATAGTTTTCGATACCTTTGAAGCTCATGACTGAGATTTGGACCTCGGTTTCGGTGCGGAATTTTGGGCCCACTACACCGGGGCTGGCCGCCCTAATCCTGCAACCCGCAGATGGTGAAAGCTTGGCGGATCTGGTCTCAGCAACTCTCTGAATGCTCTAGTGTGCCGGAATCCTCACTCTCGCCGCTCGCGCTGCTGACGATGCTGTCCTTGCTGCAGGAACTCCAAAATCTCGAACATGCTACAAGGAGCTACCTCTAGGAGAAACGGATTCGGCACGATTGGTGTGTGTGTGTGTGTGATACATGGGGCAAAATTAGCCGCACCGAAGCTACTTCCCCAAACAGGAAAAACTCCAACAGAACCCCTGGACTACCCGAGATCGACTCCAGGCCGTTTCCGTCCCAAGAGCAAAGCTGCTTGCACCGGGCCCGCAGATAGTCCTCCGCACCTGGCGGTCCGAAGCTTCGACAAAGACTTTACGGGTTTGGAGCTGATGTTTCAGGATGTCGTGTATCCGTTGGGTGGTTCAGGGTTTTCCGGCCTAGTGGGCTGATTTGGGCTTCAGAACAGACGGATGCGGCTGGTCTGAAGTTTCAGGCTTTACGGGGTTGATAACAATGGAACAGTGACAGCGATCACTTGAACCCCAGAGCCCCGACAGAAGCCGTCAGAGTTTCAAGTGACCCATGGATGGTAACCCGAATGCAAAGCTGAAGATAACTCTTTTATAACCACCCTTGAACCAAGGGACCATGCAGTAGATCCAGACCCAGGCCAGCAAGAGGACCACCTTTGGAAGCTTGAGGGATGGTTCAAGCTTATGCTAGTATTAGCAATGAAAGTAAAATGACAATAATAAATACAGAGCAACTATAGTAATTACCTCGATCGTGAGGTTAAGGTCAGACTCCTTCTGCAAAAGAGCAGAGAAGGTAGGCAAACAAAACGCAAGGCGTAGAATTTCTGAAGTGTTGTTGACGTGATAGCCCTGCAGGGAAATATCGAGTTTCGGAGCCAGTGCTTCTGTTCAGTCCAGCTAGTCGTTTCGGGTTTAGGCATGTGCAGCGCGGCCATCAGACTTAGGGCAACAACGCTGCAAATGTTGGCAGCCGATCAAACGCAGCATGTCGGAATCAGAAAACCGAAAAGGCCGAACTGCCAAAGCTGTGCGACTTGCTGCAAAGAGGCCAGGCCCCCCGCACTCCATGAGAACCTTGACTAAGTAAGAAGTCGTGTTGCGTGGGTCGAATGTGAAAAACAAACGAGGATTCTGAAGTTTTCCCAGGGTGTGGACCCTCGACTGGCACAGCTCGGCAAGCCATGTCGACATGTGTCTACCTGAAATGTGGCTCAACATTGGGCCAAGGAGCGATGCCCACCATAACTTCGGATACTTCACAACCGAGGAGAAAAGCATCGAACACAGCCACGACAGCAGGGATGCCATGTAGAGTACACCTGTGCTGACTCTTCTGCTGGTCGGGTTGTATGGTTCGAGAAGGCCCGTCAGATCCACCGGCACAGGCGTCCAGACCTACCCCTGGAAGACCATTTTGTTCTTCAGTAGGTTACTGACTGTCCTTATATTCGGGGTTTGAGGATTTAAGGGACCCCGATCATGATTCTTAACAAGGTAGCTTCAGCATTCAAACCAGATAACCATCGTGCAGTACCCGATCTTCTAGTATCAGACCTTCAATAACCTAAGCCCACAAACCCTAAACCCCGAACCCCAAACCCTGAACCCCAAAGCCTAAACCGTGAACCCTGCAAATGGAAGACTGGAAGAGGCCGGACTACGAGCTCGTCGACTCCCTGCGAACATCCCAAGAACCCAGGTGTCCCCTTGATCGCTGGGAGCCGTGCGGATGAGCCGGAAATGTCTCCTGGACGAGCATTGGGACCGGAGGCAGTATAGTCGTTACAGTTAGGTCATGTTACATTATGTTCTCTTCTGCGCGGCCAAATTCCGATGTGCCGGATTCTGTTGTACCATGTCACACAAAACCACCACGATCTCAGGGCCTTGCAGTTTGCGAGACTGCGAGACAACTGATCGGACTACCTGCTGGGAGCAGACGCTGCGGCGGTATAACATCACATTCCGCTAGATCCTGCTGCATTATGCTGTACTCTGTTACATGTTTATGGATCATACCCTAAGCCCTGGGCCCTAAGCCCTTTCTGCCACTGGACTCAAGTCGAACAGTACAGCACTTGAAGTTGGCCTCAGCCAAACCCTAAATCCTATAAACCCTAAACCGGTGGGAACATGTCTAAGAAAGCCAAGTCTCGTCAGCTTCGAAACCAAGCGGCCTCTTATGTCAGCGGAAGCTTAGTCTGGGGGACCATGGAACTGCTTCAAAGTCATTTTGGTGTTCGAAAGATACTGAAAGACCTGTCCTTGAATGTTTGGCTACGTCGTCGCATTTGGTCTATCTACTTATCTATCTGTCTATCTTCCTACTTGTCTGTCTGCGTACCTATCTACCTATCAAGCTATCTACCTATCTAGCTAGCGAGCTAGCTAGCTATGTCTCCAGCTACCTGCAAAATATCT